GGATGAAGCAACATTCAACAAAGAATATTATCTGGGCGTTATGAGGCGTTTGAGAGAGAGATATCAGATTTATGGAAGGACAATTCTTGGATTTAGCTTCACTATAATGGATCATCACACATAACGATAATTGTGAATAAATTTTCTACCAAAAATTCAACGAATGCCATCGAGCAGTTGAAAGAGTAGAAGTCCATACCACAATATGCGTTTAAAAAGTGCTTTGATGACTGAGTTGTTCGTTGGAAAAAGTGTATTGCGATGATTAATTGAATATATTCTGTTTTACTGACAAATTCCGGATACTTTTTTGACAAAATGTAATACAGGGTGTCCCATAAGCACATGATCAAAAACGTACTGCAATATTCTTTGGCTCAAAAGAAGACGAATGTCTGGCTCCTCTGCTACTGACTGTTAAAAGTTCTTGAAAAAAATATATGTTTTTTGTAATATCAGGAGAATGTTACAATAATTCTTCCTGGGATTCCACAGGAGTAGCGTAAACTTTATTCTTCAAGGCTCCCCATAGAAAAACATCTGACAACGATAAGTTGGGGGACCTGGGGGGCCATTCGACAGAAACATCTCTCCCTCTTCTTCCGATCCACTTGTGGAAAAGTATTATTTAAATGTGCAGTTACATTTGCACTAAACTGCGGAGGAGCACCATCGTGCATGAACCACATCTCAGCACGAAGATTGAGAGGGACATCTTCCATTAGAACCGGAAAAGTATTCGTCAGAAAATTGAAATAATTTTCGCTATTCAAGCGGCGCCTCCTTAATAAAGGGACGAAATTGAAGTCTTCTCTCAAAATAGTATAGTAAAAGTTCCTGAATAGACGTCGCATGATAAGGATGGAGAAGATGCTGGTACGCCAAATTCCACTGTCAGACAGCGAGTACTGATATTTGGATCTTCAGCGGCCCTATTTAAAACGTCTCCCTCAACTGCTGCATTTCGTACTTGAGGACGACCCACACAGTCTACGGCTCGAACATCAAATTGGCCAGTCTCCCGCAAACTCTTTTCAATCTAATGTAAATCGGTAATTTGGAACCCGTTGATTTGGGTACCGCGCCGCGTAGACGCGTACACTCCCACCCAAGTTGTCTTCGCAAAACCCTAAGACTTTGATCAGTCGGTCATCTCTTCAGTAGAAAATATATATACACATATTTTGAATTTAATGGCATGTCTTCGAATAACACCAGCAAGCGAATTTGCAAAAAATCTAGATATGAAGCACCGTTTAAGCAATTAAAAAGGTCTTATTAAAGTGTCATTAACGATACTGGTCCACATGTTCTCTGAAAACTGTTGCTGAAAGGCACCACGACGTGTTTCGTGTGGATTTTCGATAGTCCAGTGATGAGTGTTGTGGACGTTACGTGTATCATTTCGACTGAAACATGCTTCATCTATAACAAATATTTGCGCTGTAAATTGAGGATTTCTTGCATGTTCTTGAAGCAACCATTCGCAAAAACCCCGACGTAGTGGAAAATCCTCAGGAGTAATATGAAATGGGTACAACTGAGCTTCTCGCAATGTCCGCCACACAACAGGTTGCGAAATATTACTTGCTGTGCGATTTTTCTGGTGCTACGATGCGGATTTTCTTCGACGAGATTTAAAATCATCTCCTCGACATTTAAGATTCTAACAAATGTTTTCGGTGCGGGGGCACGTGGTTCAGAATATCTTGCGCTGTACACTTGACGAGCTCTGTGGGCATTTTCGTTTGCTTCGCCATAAATTATGAGCATATCATAATATTCGCGATTGCTAAATGCGCCATTTTCAAAAGAAAACTTGAAAATACGGCTATTAAATGTACTCTCGAAAAACAGCAAAGCAATCACTATAACTAACAATGTATTACAAACTGACTTTTGAATACAGTCCGGCTTCATAAGAAACCTACAAACTCGTAAAAAGTGTTACAGAATTGTTTGTAAGTACTCGCCGCGATAAAATTCATGTATTTCAGCAGTTCTAAAACAGTTTTAAACACATTTTTAATTAGCTTTTTTTCTCTATGAACTTTCGATACAACTTTGTGACATCGACATCAGTTAACTCAGTTTTTGCTCCTTCTTCACTCCTTTGAATTTTTGACATAAGTTCATTAACACCCTGCATTATAATATTATCTCGTACGCTCGACATCAATTTTTTTTCCCATTGTAAACTCTATCGTCAATGCACTGTAGATATTAAGATATGAAACTAACTTGAAGTTTAAATAATTATAAAATTATCTATAGATATAATTAAAGTTTTTAGTGTTGTGTGCCCTCATTTAGGTTGGTTTTGAATTTACAATAATTATTTATGCATAGGTACAGTAAATTAAAGAAACATCGAATGACAGCAAAAGTAAAAAAGTAAAAGTAAAACGAGTGAATACATTGTATGTGATTAAACTTGACAATTTCTCTAGTATAATAATTTCAATTTACCGTTACCAAAGTACCTGTTTCACTTTTTAATGTTGTCATATTCAATTCTATTTTATATAATGAATGATGCAGTCCGCAAAAATAGTTTATTTTATCTATTATAATTTACTTGTAAAATAGAAATAGGAAACAATTTGGGATCATCTTGTACAATTCACTTCAGTTTAAATAAAAAATAAATACTCATATTTAGTAGCTATATAATATGCATGATCCTTCTTTCGTTTTCTTTTATACAGGGTGTTTTATTAAGTACGGAACACATCTTCACTGGTAACGCTTAGGCAATATCAAAATAGGAAAAATTGCACCATCGAATAGAAAATTTCAGAAAAGATTTTTTAGGATGATTATTTCAAAAATAGTTATACCAGTACACTGCCGGCCCTTTGAAAGTGGAGGATTTATTTTTCTAATGTGATGATGTCTACTTTTCTTATTATGACAAGTTTTTATATATTTTATTTGGTAATTCAAGATGCCGCGCTTAAGGGAACCAGAGAAAGTGAGAGCTATAACTTTACTTCAGAATGATTGGTCATTGCGGATAATCTGCATGTATGCAAGAACAGCATATTTAAACTCAAAGAAAAATGGATTGCGGAGGGTCACGTACGTTATGTTCACGGAGGTGGACGTCGAAAATTAAGCACCACCTAAGAATAAATCCTTTTGACATGACAGTAACGGCTTCCTTTGAGACGAATTTTCCTAGATCAGTGTGAACTGCAAGGAAGCGGGTGAATGATTCGGAGCTAAAGAATTATGTGGCCGCAAATACAGTTGCTTTGACTCCCCAGTATAAAGAACAGAGGTTAGAGTTTGCAAGACAATTTGTAGGAAGCCCAGACAACTTCTGGGCGAATATTATATTTTCGGACGAAAAAAGTTTTCAGTATTGCTCCGATGGTTCTGTCCGTGTCTAGCCATTAGAGATTATAAGGTATTCGGAGCCTTATGTGAAACCCACACAGCGCAGCGGAAGATTATTCATTAACGTTTGGGTTTGGATAAGCTGCAAGGTCCTGGTGTTTTTTTGGAGGATAGAAGAGCGCCTCACTGGACTGAGCTATGTGCGCATAATGGAAAAAGTTATGCTGCCATCTGTGACCATGCTGTATCCTCAGAATTTCACTTTCCAGCAGGATAATTGTGCAATTCACACCTCAAGAGTTGCGTCAGAATGGTTCATTGATAACAACATCGATGTTTTACCTTGGCCTTCAAAGTCCCCTGTCCTCACTACTATCAAGAACGTCTGGGGATATATGGTGAAAAAAATTTACGACAGAAACTTCCGTCCAGCTAACGTCGAAGAACTTAGGGAGGCAATTGAAAACGCATGGGATAACATCACAGGATTATACAAGAACATTGATTTTATCAATGCCATGTAGACTGCAAAGTGTTATAGACAAAAAATGATGCTTGGACAAAATACTAACTTTTCGAATCGCGTTTTTCTGACGACGAAAAGTGTTTCATTTTTAGATCTCATTGACGGCGAATGAATGGCCGTTAGAATGTATATTTAAGTATTAGGAAAATAAATAATTTGCTACCTAATTTGGATTTGTTTTGCTCACTAGAATTAGTTTGATAGACACACATTAAATTTGACATAATGACAGCCAATTATAGACAATTTGCTTATAACAGTCGTCCACATTCAAAGGGCACTGTATTTGAATAAAAATAATGAAACTTAAGAGTCAAGTGAAACGTTTTCAGCATCTTTAAAATACAAACTATTTAAAAGTACATGAAACTGAGAGAAAATTTTCGTTCTAAATATTGGAAAATTAAAATTTTTGAAAACAGGTAGGCAAAACTGTGCTGATGAGGACATTCCTACCAGAAGTATCTCAATAATGAAATTTTATGATATCTTTTGACTTGACTATTGCGAATTACTTGTATTTCTAAATTAATTGGTATCATATTTCATATTATTTATTTAATAATTCAGTATGTAGTGAGGTAAGGCACCAGTTTTATTTCAAAAACTGTTGGATATTTTGGGCTCCAACTAGTACATATTATTTTTAATAAAAAATAAGGGAGTGGTTATTATTTTTTATTCAAGTTATCATTACGAGAAGAACAAACACGTTTAATCAGTTTAAATCTTACTATAGGTCCTTTCAAAAAGTATGCTATGAACTATTTTACTTTTAATCTGTAAACATATTTTTCTTAATATGGCTTTTTTTTGATAATGTATGAATGTGTATACATATTTTTAAAACATCAGTTCATTAAGAATCGCCTAGTAGGGAAATTTTTAATGAAACACATATTTCTATCTGAATATATAATTTATTTCAAATTTAACTGTTTCTATTATTAATACCTATTAATCAACTCGTCTGGATATATTTCAAAGAAAAGTTATAATTTAATTAGTTTTGTAAATTTGGTATTTGCAACATATGGATGGTTCTTGATCCGTGTAACTTTAGATTACCACGACAACACGTTCGTGAAATACTTGGTTTGTAAAAATTGCTTAATTACTAGTTAGAACTTACCTGGACCCTGGCCGTCGTACGTGAAGTCCTTAATATGTAAAGTTCGTCCGTCGACCGCATAAACTTCACCGGAGACACCGTGATGTAATTCCGAAAGTTTTCCCAAGAACTTTCCTAAATACTGGGCACTGTCTGCTTTACCTGAAAGCAGAATAAATTAATTAGCGAGACAGATATTAATGAAAATATTATATACTGATGATTTTAATGTAATATTAAATCACGCAATATCTAGTATAAGATAGGATCGTTTGTTAGTAGAAGTAGTGGTCCTATGGACAAATTATTCTATGAGTGAGAATATACATAAATTAAAAAACTAAAGATATATACGAGTTGTGATACAAAATTGGAAAAAAATAATACTCTTATTTAGTATAAATAAAATTCAGCATATGCTAAAATCAGGGCAATCAAACAGACTGGTCAACATTTTGTGTAAAAATTGGGATTTAAAAAAACATAAATTTTATTATTAGGACTTTTTTATTTAATTTATAAAGGTAATTTAATTTAATTTAAACAGTTTACTTCGATACAACATAAAGAAGATAATTTTGTAACATATGTGAGATCTAACTTAATCAGGGATCCGTATTAGGCCCTGTTTTGTTCATGAACAGTATTGAAAATATTCTGGGTAATGGTTCTTTTTTGTTATATGCAGACGACATCTCTTTAATTATATCGCACAAGTCCGATATTGACGCGCAAAATAAATGTGATCAAATTATGAATTCTTTATGTGATTGGTTCATTGAAAGTCACTTATATTTAAATACCGATAAAACACGAATTATGCGTTTTCATACTCGACAAAAAATGTGTGAGCCTCTGTGCATAAAAATTGGTAATTCTTCAATTAACACTAGCTCAGAACCTGTAAAATTTCTGGGTATATTACTCGATGAGCACATGACATGGAAACCACACTGTGAAAATGTGGTTTCATATTTAAGTTCCATGAACTTTTTATTTTTAAATCTTAGAGATGTCTTAACGAGACAACAGTTGTTAAGTTTATATCATGCTCGTGTAGATTCACATATTCGTTATGGTATTTGTTTATGGGGTGACTCCACTCTGTCCCAAGCAATACTTAAAGTTCAAAAGAAAATAGTAAGAACAATAGCTGGCCTTTCTAGCACGCATAGTTGTAGAGGTATTTTTGTTGAGCTCAATATTTTAACTGTTACGTCGTTATATATTTTGGAATTGTGTGTATATGTTTATAAAAACAAAAATAAGTTTATGCTGAATCGTGATATTCACTCTGCTAATACTAGAATTGGGCATCACTTCCATTTGTCATTTGCAAGATTATCGATTGCTTCAAGATCTCCTGACCACATTGGCTTAAAAATTTATAATTCTCTCCCGGAAAATATTAAGTCTTGTAAAAACTTGCATGTTTTTAAACATATTTTAAAAAAGTTTTTGATCGATAGGTGTTACTATTCTCTTCCAGAATATTTTAAATTGTAAGTTTTTTTTTTAAATTTTATGACCTTTAACTGCTAAATGTTTTTATTCAAGTAGCGGATGTTTCTTTTTTTTGTTTTGTTCGTTTTTTGAATTGTTTTTGTGTTTAATGTTTTCATATTTACAATTATTATTTTTTATATGTAATAATAGTGTACAGTTTTACTGTATCATTATATTGACTATTGCTATACATGTATTAATGTATATGTGCAAAATAAATAAACTAAACTAAACTAAAGAAACATAGAAATCTAAAAAAAAAATTTGGTAAATTTGGAACGAATACATTGAAGATGAATTTTTCGGGACACAACGTCTGAATCTGGTTCGAGCTGAGGTAGTACAGTATTAGGGGTCATGAAGGCTTCCAAAAAATGTAATAAAATTTCCAGGGTCGTATTTAAAAAAATTAAGTTGATGATGGTCCGGGAGAGATAAAACGTTACACATAAAAATTGATTATGCTATTCGATGGAGGACAAAAAGTTGCCATGAGAAAGTGTTATTTTTTTAATATCACCTCAAACAAGGCTGAAATTAAACAAAAACGGATTTCCAGAATTTCGGTTGTTTTCAAATACATATTTCGAAAACTAATCATGTGAGCTTTGATTTTTTAGAGGCATAATGTTCGTATCACTTATCGTTTCCGAGATCCCTGTAGTGAGAAGAGAATTTGTAACAGCCTGTATAACCTCACAGAAAAAAATGGTAATAGAATTTATTTGAGATTTATAACAAAGTAAACATTAATTTGGATATTAATCGACCATTTTTTTTTATTATATTTTTTTTAATTAATAGTAATTCAGAATTCGGAAAACCAACCAATCAACCAAACAAACCAACCTAAGACAAATTCCAGTGTTTCCAGTTTTAACAAAAAGAACAAAAATGAGTTTTAAGGGATTTTATTTGGTATATGTGGGTTTAATTTTGTTTAGACTTCTATAGCTGGCTTAAAAATAGAAACAAAAAATTATTTTTCAATATTTGTTCAAAAAAACTTACCTAAATTATTTAATAAGTATTTTGTTATTTCTCTATTTTCGAACGTTTTGTGCAAAAAACGGTACAAAATATTTCATTTTCAAATTACCGCGTTGGATGACATTAGTGAGAGTTTGTTTGTTAGAATTATTTTTTAGTAACTATAACGATAACCGATTCTATAATCTCAGAAGCAAGACAAATAAGTACATGAACTTTTTCTTCGTACTTTGTCATTTTTGTTGCAGCTCCTATATGCTAAAGTTAGCTTCAAAATACATGTAAACAAAACGTACAACTTCCATAAACTATTTAGATAAATCGTTGTTCAATTTCGTTTTTGTAATTTCTAGTTTCGGTGTTGAAAGTAAACAAAACAAATAATTGAAGCCACCTATATCCTCGGATCTTATATTTTCGCTCTCCATTATATTCCAGTTTGCGGTTTGAAGATAACTATGGCATGTTGTATTAATTTTATTTGAGAATATGTAATAATTCATCAGCATAAATATTTGCTACAAAGTTTTCGACTGAATTTTGCCCTACTAAGTACTCCTGTACTTTATACTGACGTAATTGAAATATATCGAATACTTAGCCTTAAATTTATTCGATACATTACAGAACATTAGAGTGTACATTCATAAAAATTTAAAAAAAAACAATAATTTTAAACAATCCTGCATAATTTTATGACGATGAGAAGAAACGATTTTTTGTCTTAAACCTAAATTATTTTACTGCGTAATACTTTTCTTTATTTTCTTTTTAGTTTAATTTATAATAAAATTTATTTCAGGTGGTCTAAAATTCTTTTCAAATTAAATATAATTTTGTATGCTTTTAATATCCTTATAAGCATTATTCTTAGGCAAGAGTGCTGTTTAATTAAAAGAAACAAAACATTTTTATGCTGTAATTCTGCTGTAAACATTTTATCACATAATGTTAAAAGTGTAAATAATACACAAATTAATGGTTTCGCTTCATATATTTTTATTTTCTTTAAATCCATACCAGTTTATTTTAGCACCTCTTATAAGAAATGAAAGAAAATAAAACAAGAAATTTATCTTCATACGGCGAGTGTAACTAGTTCAAATAGATCATTACAGTACATTTAAATCTTTTACTGTCCATACTACTAGCAATAAAACTTATTTGCAGTCTGGACTAAATTATTTTTGTGTACAATCTCCCACATACGCAGAAATACCACATACGTAGAAAAGTGCCACTTTTGTTATTTTATACTTCTTTGTGTACTTATATACAGCGTGTCTTTAAAATACTAAGACATCGTAAGTTCAGAGATTCCTTAGATCAAAATAATATATTAATTAATATTGCTCTCTTAGTGTAGCACCACGTCATATTTCTTCATATAATGTTAACAGTTTGTGACAGATACTTCTTAATTAATGTAGTATGAATCTTTATTTATTTCAGCGTATTCCTAAACCTTGTTTTTTGGATCGCCACACCTTTGACCATCCTATAACTTATTTTATAGTATGCCTATAACTATTTCATTTATATTTTTTAATACAATATCCATTCTTTTAATTTTTTATCTCTTGTGAAAATTTGATTTGTTGGTTCTTTATTATTAATATGTAGGAAAATATTTACTTCTTCGATCAACTTCACTTTAGAAATAGAAAATAATTACATAACTCTTTCCAGATATCTTAAATTAAAAAAAATACAACATAAACAATTTACACTTACATATTACCTATCTAAATTTTTATTTTAATTATAATGTTGAATTAAAGACGTACTTTATTACAAATATTTATTTGTCCTGTCCTGTCGACAGTATTTAAGAATATTGCTAGTAAAGCAGATTGTCTAACAATAAGACAACAAACAGAAACTAGGTATATACACGATAAAAGTTCCATGTATTCCTATACTATCAGAAAAATTAAGGAGAATATGTTACAAATTTAATATTAGAATAATTTTTTAAACAACTAATACCTTACGGACGGTTTTGTAAGATGCGTCAATAAAATGATATAATAATAATCAAATAATTTTATAGTAAAACTTGTGAAACTTGATTATATTGGAGAAATCTATATCAACCTACATATATTAAATTAGATGAACATAAAATTTAAAAGTTTAAAAATAAAAAGCGAGAATCTGAGAAATGAAAAATTTGCGGACACCTTTGGAAAAAGGTCATATTATTCGAATGACTGATCCTTTTGACGCAAGGACGTAATTAATTAATATTTTATTTTTTCTAAGATGGCAAAAAATCCAATCAACAGAAAAAATATGAAAAAATTATGGTTTCAAGGGACGATTTGGGTAAATTTCAATACTCGTTAACTTTTGTACACATGTTGATATATTGCTATAGATATTATTTTAGTGCAAAGATTCTCTGACCTTACATTGCCCACGTACTGTTAAGACACACGGACAACTGAGTGGAGTAGACAGTAATTGTTAGAATCTTACTTACATTGCACAGTAAAAAATTGAATGTTCAATATTGCATCGAAATAATGTTTAAAACTGCTTCATATTTATTCACACTTATGAGTGTAATATGCACTATGCTCAAAAGTTGTTAAAAAATTAAATGCAACAATTAATTACATCATTATTTATTATTTATTTATTTATCACACTAAATCTAATTG